CCCATTATCAATTTTTATATCAATTTGTACATAATTATGTGCACAATAAAGCTAGCCATGTACAACCAGTAAAGACCTTATGGTAATATCATTCCCTTAAAAGCTTTAAAATAACATACATCTAATGGCTTATTTGAGCCCCATTTTCTTTTGAGAATGCATTTTAAAATAATAAATTGATATAGAATGTGTGGTTAAGTAATAAGGAAAAGTTTTAGGTTTGCTTGTAATATTATTTTATTGAAAAATGTGCAGTTGAAAAGAAGAGTTAAAAAAAATTGTATTTTGAAAATAATTAAGATCAAACGAGGCTTCATTGCTCTTGTAACGACCTTTGCTGAATTTAAAATATCAGTTACAAATGTGGGACAATTGAAATTTTAAAATAAAATCTACTAAAATTGATTTTTGAAATGGATTCCTCCTCTAGAAGGCCAGCCCAGTATAAACAGCGACCTTAGGTCAATTACAATCAGATGGCTTTGAATTTTAAAACTTTCCCTATCAATGCCACCCTTTTCGAACTGCACTTCTCCAATACCTCAAAAATTTTGGTGCAAGTGTTTTTCATCCTTTCCCACCAACTCTAAGATGGATGGTGACAAACTTCTTTATTTTAAATTTTTATCTCTATCAAAATATTAATTATTTATTTGAATATTTTCTCGATGGATTGGTGGACAATTTTATATTTGATTTTTTTTCTTTGCTCTTCGTTTCTTTCTCCAACTATTTTTATTGATTTTTTTCTAGTCACCAAATTTCCATCTTCCTTTTCTCTCACAAGTTATCTTCGATCAATCTTAGTAACTTACAAAAATATACCATTCGGAGCATAGTTCAGTGGTGCAAAAGATAGGAGTGAGGTTATCTCACGTCTTGTTGGCAGCCATAGTGTGAAGGTTCGATTCCTGAAATATGGAATTGGACTCCTTGTAAACGTAGTGTACAGACAGCTCTTGTTCTCTGACCTACTAGGGTATATTTCGCAATTTACTTCCCTCACAAAGTTCTAGAAATGGGGCGGTGGGGGCCCTCAAGATTGGAGTTCAACTTTTTTTATTTTATTTTTAGTAACTTACAAAAATATATGTTTATTTGTTGATGGAAAGATATGTTTGTTTATGGACACCTTTTAGGTAGAAATATGCCGTGCAACAACTCCACTAACATCAGTTTAACCAAAATCTGAAATTAGGTTACACCTCACTAATTACTATCCTACATGGTGACATACATAAATTTTATTTTCTTCTTGCTTCCTCTTGATAAATTAATTCAATAATAAACTAAGCAAGAACAATATTACTCGTTCTTTTATGAAAGAGGGAGTAGTAAAATTTAAATCTTGTCTTTTCACTAAAACGTCAAATTAATGCATCAAATCCAATATTTTAAAGATCAACAATTGATTTTTAGTTTATCTTTGGTTCAATTTTAGTTTAATTTTTTGATAATCGACTTCAATTAAACTACTTTGTCAGAATTTTTTTAACATAATGGTTGACATTCTCTCACAGCGTGTGGGCCACTCGTGAATAAAAATGTCCAAAAAAGAAGTGGACCCCGCCAATGTGGGTGTCGGATATCCACTATGTTAAAAAAATTATGTCACCATAACATTGTTGAATCGACTTTTTACTTTTGCGGTTTTGACAAAATCCACTCTACCTAAATTTGGACAAGTCCGTGATTTCCTAGTATGTAATATGTATGATATCAGAAAATGTTTTGAGACTAAAATAAGTATTTGTATTTGTAATAAATATATATTCAAAATATATTACTATTTTTTGTCTATGAGTTGACGGAGAATTGGTCACAAAATGCGGAATTTTAATTTGGATTCCTATGAGTTTTCCACGAGAGTATTGGTATGAACACGTATTTGATAATATGTCCAATGGACCTAAAGACTTTTTTTTTTTTTTTTTTTCCTTTCATTAATTTAATGAATTATATTTACGTAAAAATGGTCAAAGTAATCTCGTCGTAATCATCAAAGGTAACAACTTTATGAGTTTTTCTTTCATTCACAAAACTTTCTTTTATAAATCAATTCTAGCATCTAATTTCACCTTATCTTTTGAGTCATCTGCTTTTGACATCTTTATCTGTAGACGTGCGTTTAACTCTTAAGTAAATAAATCGATTAAGTTTTTACATCGGCTTTTAAATGAAATAGCCCAAAGATTCTAACATCTTTTTATGTTACTTTGTTACCTTAGTTAATTATATAGACTTCGAACATATTTAGTTGTGTTGAAAAGTATCGTAAGATGCATTTCACTTTAATATCCTCACTAAAGTCACCTTGTAGTGAAGAGTAGATCGAGTGGACTCCTTTGAGCCATTCCTCTTAAAGGACGAAAAACCAAATAAAATGGAGCAAACTAAAAAACGATTGAGTTAATCTCTTAAGAGGCTTGAAGAAATTTATGACTAAGAAAATCTGTTTAGATATTGTTGTTTAAAAATCAATTAAAGTGTGTGATGCGATGAATGAATGAAAAGTAAAATCGAGAGCCAAAATGATGGCCTACGTAGATGGGGCTACGGTGGCATGGTAACATGCACTAAATGCCCTATATGTCTTTTGTTCTATGTGGTCAAATAGAACATTCTTCTAGCCGTTAATGATCGTTTTTATTTGAATTTTTGTGACTCTTTGGAGGATGTCTTGCATTTTTTCGTGAAGTTTTGGCACCAACTCATGGAGTATTGATTGAGGCCTATATAAATAATCAATCATCATAGCAAAAGTGATTAGAATTATTTGAGAAAACTATATGCCTACAAAAGATCATTCCACAAAAAATATAAAAATATCCATTTATATCATATTCAAAATTCTGATTTGTGTTCTTAAGTTTTGGAGAATTTCACTAAGTGCTTAAATGCTAAATTCTTTACAAAGTTTAATAAATCCTGAAAACCATTTGTCAAACCCCCTTTAAGCATCAAATTCTATACGAGATGGAGCAAATATAACGATTACGTGTTTGAGCATTCTTCTTCAATTTCTTATTATTGTTATTTGTTTTTTCTCCATCCCCTTGTGTGTAAACCATATTTCAAACAAATATAAGAATAACCTCTATCCTACTACACGAGGGAAAATACTAACTACTAATATCCGCCAATATCCCAATATCAAAAAGTTCTCCATCAAAGCAAACGTCACAAGCA